AAAAAAAAAAGAAAAACTTCAGATTTAATTACATGGAAATTTTGACATAGTAATGATTTGAGTACAAAGAATTAAATATGATTCATGTAGTAATATCTTCACTTTATTGCAAAAAAAAACCAAAAAGTAGGGTGTTTTCCCCCCATTTATTTTAGACATTTAGATTCACTCTGTTAGATAGCAAACATGACCACAAATTATTCTCCCTCCTAATGTCACCATTTGCAAAAAGCATTAGTTGCTTCAAGAGGTAGAGTTTATTTATCCACTTTCTGAATTTGTGCCAGTTCCCGACTTGCTTTAGCCAATGAAACAACAGCAAACAGTATACAGAGACTTGAAAAGTTTTACATCGGGGCTTGCCATTTTGCTGGTATTAGAACTCCCTAGTCACTATGTGAACAAGAACTTGAGCAATCACATGGAGAGAGACCCCAGTCAATACAACTGAGACCATTTTGAACTGCCAGCCTCAGCCAATCTACCTGTTAACCACAGATGCATAACTAAACCTAACCAAGATAAGTCAACCATGGTGCAGATGAAAAAAAAAAACAACCTACCCAGCTGAGCCTAACCCAAAATGCCATCCTGCAAAATAGTGAACTAAATATATAATGGTTGTTTTAAACCACTAAGTTTGGGGTGATATTTGACAGAGCAATAAACAGATAACTAATGTAATTGTCTAGCTTTTTACTGTTTATAGAACATTTACTGTATCATACATGAGCACCACTGTGAAGAAAATGTAATCAGATATCAGCATTTGGACAAGGATCATTATTCTACAAAAAGGCCTTTCTGGAGTCTTTTTCTAACTAGGTAATAAGAATAGCCAAGAGGACATTTCGGAGAGCAGATAGCAATGAACATGGAATCTTAATAGTTAATCTATATAAAAAGTTAAAGACCACATCCTGAAAGTAAACTACATATTTTTTACTTAACTTTTTTAGGCAAAATGATTTGAGAATTCCTTAAGGTTCAAATGCTATATTAGTGATTATGGTCTGAGAAATTATTTGAGTTTTTTTAACCTACCTAGAAATTTACTATGGTAAAATATGGTACAAGAAAACTTGAACTGTTCAATATCCCATCTTCCCAGAAATGTTTAGTTTCAAAGATCTGACTAAATAAAATACAGTATCTCTTAGTATCCACCACCAACAAACATTACCAAAAAGGCTGAAGATTATTATACTATGGTTAACATGTTATAATTTGTTTGGCTTATATCACAACAGAAAAATAATGTTGACAGGCTAATAATATATATGAGGTGAATCTTCAAGCAAAAGTTGGAGTATCTGGTCTATATATATAAAAGCCTAAGTGACTGTCCAACTGTTCGACCGGTAGCTATGATGCGCACTGACCACCAGGAGGCATATGCTCCAACCAGTAGATTAGTTTGCTGCTGGGGTTCGGCAGATCAGGACTGGGTGAGATGGGTCGGACACGCCTGGAGCCCTCCCACGGTCGCTCCCTGGCCCTGATAGTGCACAGTGGGGTCCCGGATGCAAGAGGGCACAGGCCATGCCAAGGGACCCCACCAGTGCATGAATCCATGCACCAGGCCTCTAGTCTACACTAATAAAAGAGAAACATGCAAATTGGTGTCACTCTGCTATGCTCACCAGCCAATCAGAGTGACTATGCAAATTAACCCAACAAAGATGGCAGTTAATTTGCATATGCAGGCACAGAGCGAAGATGAAGGCTCCCGCTGGAATGAAGACTGAAGACTGAAGAGGCTTGGCTTCTCCGCTGCATCTGCGGCGGCAGCGGAGACACCAAGCCTCGCTGCAGCCAGAGGGAAGAAGCCTAGCCTCGAGGCTTGGCTTGTCTGCTGTGGCCAGACCAAAGGCCTGGGTCCTGGGTGCTGGAGGAAAACTGGTGCCAGCAGCCAGGGGAAGGAAGGCCTATTGCACAAATCTTTGTGCAACAGGCTTCTAGTCCTATATAATAAAAGCCTAATATGCAAATTGTCCCTACGGGCAGGAGTTTGATCGATGGGGAGTTAGACGTGCACTGACCACCAGGGGGCGGTGCAGAGCATGGCGGGCATTGGCAATGCAGCACTGGCAGCATGCGGCAGTGGAGGCACTGCCAGCTCCAATGAGCCCTGATGAGAGCGAGACCGCAGCAGGATGGTGGAGCAGGTGAGCGGGCAGCACCAGGCCAAAGCGGCTGTGAGGGGAGGCCCCGGCCAGCAGTGGCGACAGGCAGCTGGGGGAAAGGAGGCCCCAGTTGGAAGCCAGCAGCACTGGGCCTCTAGCTGTATAATAATTTGACTGGACTCTGTCCATGGCTTCTAGAAGGAAGCTGGGCTCCTCAGACCTGACCTGAGTTCGTACTAACGAGGTGACTCAGGGTGGGCCCCTAGACAGTTTAAGGATGGGAGCTAGCCACATAGAAAATATGAACCATGAAATTAGAGGATTGGGGCTTTGAGCCATAGATGTCAGCCTGACCTCAAAACTGGGGAAGGAAGAGAGGCTAGAAATTGCATTTAATCAAGTGGTAAATTATTTAATCATTCCTATATGTGAAACCACTACAAAAACTCTGAATGTTCAAAGTTTGAGTGAGCTTTCTCGTTGGTGATACACATTGAGGTGCTGAAGGGTGATGGATCCTGAGGAATAGTTTACATTTAGGATCTCCTAGACCTTGCCCTATTTCATTTGGCTGCTCCTGATTGTATCCTTCAGAATAAAACTGTATAGTGCTTTCCTGAGTTCTGTCAGTCATTCTAGCAAATTGTAAGGGGGAAGTGACAATGTATAGCCAGTTGGTCAGAAATGTGGGTGGCCTGGAAACCCTGGAATAGCAGCTAGAGACTAAGGTGAGGGAAGTGTTGTGCAGGACTGTGCCTTAACCTGTAAAATCTGACGTAACTCCAGGTAGTGTGAGAATTGCGTTGCACATGGGGAAAGCAACTAAATACCAAAGACATAAGAAGAGCAGATAATATGCATATATGGACACAGACAATAGAGTGGTAAAGGCCTAGGAGGGGCTGGTGTGGGGTGGAGAGGAAAAAAAAAGGGAAAATAAATATAAATAAAAGCTGAAGGATAAAATAATAAAAAAAGAAAAGCAGAGAGAAGACAGGTTAATAGACAACAGAAGTGATAGTCATGATTAGGAATAATCACAGAAGCAGTCACCCATGGAATAAAAAATGAAAAAAAAGCCCGCCTTGGCTGTGTTCGAGCATCGACCTATCAACCAGGAGGTCACGGTTTGATTCCTGGTCAGGGTACATGCCCGGGTTGTGGACTCAATCCTCAGTGTGGGACACGCAGGAGGGAGCCGATTGGTGATTCTCTCTCATCATTGATGTTTCTCTCTCTCTCTTCCTCTCCCTTCCTCTCTCTGAAATCAATAAAAATATATTTTAAAAAAATGAAAAAAGAAAAAACACACAAAAGACAGTATTAAAGGCAAAAGAGACCATTAGAGGTGATAATGGAAGAATTGATAGGGACAACACAAATGGGGTAAAGGAGTTAAGATGACAAGCTAGTTAATAGTCTGGGAACTCATTAATTCATTAAAAACTACCTATTAATTGCCTGCTACATGTTAGACACTGTGCCAGGTACTAAGGATATGTGGTGAACAAGAAAAACATAGCTCCCACTCTCATGAGGTTTACGTTGTAGAGGGAAAGATAAATGCTAAATTGTGTAATTGTTATTGTGATACTTGCTACAAAGGATAAGGATATAATTAAATAAGGGTTTAATAAACAGATCAGTAATAAGTTAAATCTATAGTCCTAACACTTACACACCTTTATCTCTATTTGCAAATATTATCTACCAAAGTAGTACAGAATAATGTGCATTTTATTTTTTATTATAGTTGATGTACAATTTTATTAGTTTCAGGTATATAACACAGTGACATTTATATATCTTATATCTTTAATGACATTTATATATCTTATATATATATATATATATCTTTTTTTTAAAAATATATTTTATTGATTTTTAATGTATTTCCTTATTTTAAAAATATGATATGTCTTATCTAGTAACCATCTATCACCATAGTTATTATGATATTATTGAATCTATTCCCTTTGCTGAATGATACTAATTTTAAAGGGGTTTCATCAATAACAAAAAATTCAGATGAAATACTTACCTCACCTTCTACTAAAAATATTACATTCCCTTAGCTATCTAACACTTAAATATTTCCCATATTTCTTTGTCAAATTTAGGTTCACCTTAACATACAGTTATAACCCTACCCAAATTTTAAAGTCATACACTTCCTAAAAAACAAACAACTACAACAAAAAAAACACCAAAAAAATTTGAGCTGTCAAAAAAAAACCACCTCAAACAAAATAAGGATCAAATCATCAGATATGACACCCTGACTTCTGAGCAAAAAAGCCTTCGGATATGCATTTCATCAAGATTCAGAGGTCAATTTCTACTAAATGTTGCTATTGATCAGTTTTGAGATTTTTAGAAAAGATGGATTAATTCTGAAGTTTTTGATATAAAATTCCCTAAGAACTCTTTCCAAATAATAGTTAATTGGATAACTAGAGTTTCTTACCTGTAGTCATCTAACCGTACCAGAAACCGTACAATATCATGATGAGCTTTCAGTACAAGCAGTTCGGTGTAGGGGTTCTGAGTTTGTTCTTCACCTATTGTCTGTAAAGCAGATTTCTTGTATTGGAAAAAAAAAGCCAAAACAAAAGAGAAAGAGATAAAATGATTTATGATAAAAGGTATACTGCAGTAAAACTGCATGGTGTACATCTAAAAATTTAAGATTTAAAAACATGTTCTCATACTACATAAAGGGTGGGGCAAAAGTAGGTTTACAGTTGTGAGTATACGAAACACAGAGTTTATTCTTGTATTATTATTTATTATTTTCCATACCAACAACTGTAAACCTACTTTTGCCCCACCCTGTATTATTTCCCCTAATATCAACTGACAGCCAATTTAACACAAAACATTTTTCTTACCACAAATCCACACCATAAATTTTTGTATTTTCAAGTCACAATAAATTTAGAAAAAGGGCAAAATTTATTTTATCAAATTATATTTCAATAAACCTGACCTAAAAAATTAATGGGCCAATCCAACTCAATATTTTTAAATGGGTGTTTCTCAATTGAAACTTGGCAGAAACAAAACTGTAGGTCAAAAGGGTAAAATATAAAACAGACTAAAGTAGGGCCTAAGCCCATTATAGGCACTCATTATATGTTTGCTGAATAAAAGAATTAAGTCATTTAGAGTCAATGAATTCAATGAAATCAACTTTGAAAAATAACATTGATAAAGATAATTACTAACATTTACAAAGTATTAGGTGGCATCCCATATGCCAAACACTGCAAAGCACATATAACTGGATAACTCTGTAAGGTAGGTCTTATTAACCCCATTTCTGTAGTCAAACCCACTACGATTTTAAAAAAACCTCTGTTCTTACCCTCTAAACTGCAGTTTTTTTAAACTTGACACTATTGACATTTTGGACCAGATAATTCTTTGTTGTTAAGGGCTGTCCTGTACACTGTAGGATGCTCAACAGCATTCGTAGTTTCTACATATTAGATGTCAATAGAAATTCACCCCACCCCAAATTGTGACAATCAAGAATGACTATCAATCCCCAGAGGGAAAGTAGGGGAGGGGAGGGGTAAGGGGAAGAGATCAACCAAAGGACTTGTATGCATGCATATAAGCCAAACCAATGGACATGGACAACAGGGGGATGAGAACATGGCGGGGAAGGGGGTAGGCTGGAGGTTAATGGGGGGATGAGGACACATTTGTAATACCTTAACCAATAAAGAAATTAAAAAAAAAAAAAGAAAGTCTCCAGACATTGCCCAATGTCCCCTAATGGGCAAAATTATCCCAGCAGAGAAACACTGCTTAAATTAGAAGCTTAGATTCAAAGTTCTTGCATAAATTAGGGCAAATCATTGCTTCAGATAATGTACAAATTCACAGCAGTTATAAAACTGAAATACTTTTACATGAAGAAATATATAACTTAACATGCATGTTCCCAAAAACTACACCCCAAAGGAGTAATTTTTTTAATTTATTGCATCGCCCTTTTAGCAGTGAAAATCAAAAGTGAGAATTCTGAAAACTATATACTACTTTCCCCAAATGAAAGCTTGTCAGGTATCACAGAATTAATTAATCAAATTCTATGATTCATCAAATAATGAGGCTTATACAGAACTGTCATATATATCCTATGTGGACTATTCAACTTTCCACAATTCTCCTATAATCTTTAGGATTTCAGCCTATCTTAAATACATCTAATTTCAAATAAGAAATGCTTTTTTAAAAAAAATAGAGAATAAGCTTCAAGTGCAAAGATATGAGAAAGTTAAGACTGAGAAGTAAGATTTCTGGATTTACAACAATCCAAGTTTCCTATTTTTAGTAGTAAAAACATATTTTCTATGAGAAATAAAAGGGAATTCAGCACAAATTATATTCTTGGGTGGCATATGAAATAAATTCCAGACCTCAGTATTTTTAAGTTCCAAAACTTTTATATTCGCAACATTTCAAAAATAAATCTCATTACAGTCTATTCAATTATTCAGTCCCATGAAGAAAGCGTTGACTATGGAATCAAAAATAGCAACTAATTGGAAAATCATTTTCTTGACTTTGAAGCAAAATATTAATTTAAAAAGTTAATTATATCTTTTTGGTTCATGTATAAAAACTCAAATCAACTTTATATTTCCTGAGCAGTTTGGGGAAGTGACACCAAGTAAACGAAAAAATGTAAAGTTGCAGTCACCACTTGTTTCTAGTACGTAGGTCAGATACTTTTTTAAATGGATATGAGACTTAAGTAGGGAGACTAGCTGAGTCTCCTTGAGCCCGCTGTTGAACCACATCAGCTTCAGTTTTCTCACCTTTTGGCACAAAGATACTGTATTTAACTCAGGGTCTTAGGAGAATCAAAAGTACAAAGTAGCAGCAAAAAGGGGAGCCCCTCCCCCAACCCAACCTCCTCCACCCGAAACCTGGCCTCACAGCACGCAAGCCCCTCCTTCAACAGGGTCATTGTTCCTAGACTCAGGATCCCAGCTCCCACAGAAGCTTCCGCCGGGCAGGCAGGCTCCACCCAGGGGTTTACCTCTGCCAGTCCCTGAGGTTCTCGGCTTCCCCCGATCAGCCATCGCAACATCAGGGTAAGGCCTCTTGCCCGGCCCAGGTCACAGTCAGCCCGAACTCTGCACTGGCCTCTACTTCCTCCTACTTCTCAGGAGCAGAGAGCAATGGAGCTGCTAACACTTTGCCGCCCCAGAAATGCCCACAGAACGTAGTAGAGCAAAGGAGAATCCACAGAAACAGGAAGATATTTGTCCCCCAGGCGCTGCCGTACCCTCCGCAGAGGCTTGGTTTGCGGTAGCCACTAGAGGAGCTGTAGCCCAAAGCTTGTGGGGTAGGGGCGAGGCTTCAAAGGCTTTAAGTGAGCAGGCGCAGGGGCGTTGCCCACTTTGCCCGCTGAGCTTGGGTAGCTTGAGCGGCCCCTGGTGGATGCGTATGGCACAGCACCTGAGTCCGGCGAGCAAGTGCTCACCAATTAACAGTCCCCTGGCATCCTTACTTGGCTGGGGGACCAAGAAACTCTTAAATAGTTGGCTGCAGAAGGGGCCTCCACATCCGGACTAACCCAATAATAAACCCGGCCAACATTTTGTGTACTGTAGTACAGATACTATTCTGAGGCTTCACATAAATCCTCACAGTAGCCCTACAGTCCCTGTTTTATAAAGAAACAAACTCGGAAAGATTAGGTAGTTTGTCAAAGGCTAACAGCTAGGAAGTGGATACACTGAGATGGGTACCCAATCTCCAAACTCTAAAACTAGTGCTCTTGACTACCCTGTACTGTCTAACCCAGAATATCCCTAAAGAATAGAGGACATTTCATCACTCCATTTTGACTACTAGGCTTTCTTAGGTAGTCAAAGGGCTACGGTTCTCTACTCTGGCTGCATATCATAATTACCCAATATGTATTTTGAAAAATATATATTCCTGGCTTCTATCTGGATTCATTAAAACAATCTTTATGGTTAGAACATAGGAATCAGGGTTTGGGGAAAATTCCTCAGGTGAGTCATGAGTAGCAAGGTTTCCAAATCACTGACTTAGGAACTACTTATAAATAGGCCTGTAAATGTTCATACATATATTTGTATATGTGATTGTTAGGTTCAAATCAGGATACTAGCAGTAAATTCTTAGAAAGAACCCAATACAAGTGTCCCAACCAATACATTAATTCAACAGACATGTATTGGCCACAGATGCATAGAGATTAAAAAAGTAATCACATAAAATTGCTACTTTTTGGATCAAGACAGAATATGCTAGATACCAATAAGAGGAGGCCATACTTTCTACTTTAATGTATATTGGTTATGGGCAGTTTCCCAATCTAACTGACAGTCCCTAGGGAACTGGGATCTCCTATGATTCATCTTTGTATTCATTTTGAATGCACTTGACAAAGGAACACTCCCAAGGGTCAGGAGAAGATTGCTCCAAATTGAAGTCTGCATGCAGTTGAAGAAAGACTAAAAGAGTAGAGACTAGCCCCTGGACAAGGGGGATTCATCTTTAGTAAAACAAAACCCAAGAACATCAGGATTTTAGTCCTGGGAGGATAAACTTCAAGTGAGGCAACATGGTTGCCAGGTAGCCTAAATTTTATCCTGATTTTCCACATTATTTAGGGGTTTGCCCACTCCCTCATTACTCTGATCTAAGGAACACTCTTCTGGTCTTTAAATCACTGGTGCAGTGGTGAATAGTTTCTCCCTTGGTTCCTTTTAGGACAGCCGAGAAAGAACCTTATGTAAGATTATACTCGACCTCAGGGAAGCTAAAGGAGTAGGAAGCATCAGGAATCCATTCCCCCACCTAGATGACAACAATTATACTGTCAGAAACTGTGTGGACTATTTTGGAACTCTGAAGTCTATTTAAAAGCTTGCAGCTTGTAGGGGAAATCTTGGCTAGCACAGGTTCTGGCCAGCATTGTTTCAACCCTAACTGACTGAAGCTGCTTCCAGGGAATTTAAAGAAATAGCATGTTTGGGGTTTTTTTCCCTACTGCCTTTTTCCCCCTCTAAGGAGCCAGACATTTTAAGGATTAGGACATTCAAAAGCAACCACATGTACAGAAGAATTTAGAAAGTAACCACACGTGCCCAGCAAAAGACACAGACTCAGCTATGACCTAAGGAGACCTTTCACCTCAGACTAATCCCCACCACTGGGACACCTTTCAACAATCAAAAAATAAATAAAAAAAATAAAAACCAGCAAATTATGGGGAAGAGCGACTGAGAAAGAAAAAACAACTCAGCAATAAAAGTAATAAAAGGGTATATCAGTACAGACCCTGTAGACATTGAAATATTATAAATTATGCATGAGTTTTAAGCTCAAATGGATAACATAAATAATTGTATAACAATTAACAAAATTGGATCCAGTTTAAAATGGTCTGTAAAAGAAACTTTCAGGCCTGGATGGCAATACTAATGAAAATCCCAGGAGGATTTCTAATATATATACAATATGCTTCTAAAACTTATAAAAAGGACAAAGGAACTAGGATATACTATGAGACACTGTGTTAGAAACCT